AGAGTGGTTTTTCAGTGACAGAATTCCAGGAAGAATTCATTGAGTAATCTCAACCAAATTCTTCAATCTTGATTTAAGAAAATCTTAAAATGTCTCAATTGCTTTCTTCTCGAATATTGATGCGCAATTGCATGCAGGGTCCATATTTGCATTCCATGGAACAAATCTTTAGGTTTATTTGTATCACATCTTCCAACATTGTTTTTTTTTCACAGCTGCTTATGTAGTTGTGGATGTGTGAAGTTTTCTTCATTTGTCTTTTTTGCATCCAATCACATCATGAGAAAAAACTCGGAACCATACATAGTTTTGTTTCGTTTTTTGGGCAGCAGAGCAAATTGGGCACGACACATGCTCATTTTTAGCACAACTACCACGGGGTATAATGTGATGGCTTCTATGAGAGTCATGACGACTATTTAAGGCAATCATAGAATAATGAAAAGGTCCTTCTTCCGTATTTCATTTATACTGTACAAAAAGGCATTGAAAAGCTTTCTAAAAAAAACAGGGACATATCATGAGCAAGTTAACTGCAGTTTTATTATAGCAAGTTAACCCCTACACTACACATGATAAGATAATACAATTAAAGATGTGTTTTTAACAATGAAAACACGTGGTTTAATTTTCAACCACGTTCATAAAACTGGAATAATACTGCATATAAGACCACATGTTGCTTTCTTAATCTGATGATGCGCATCAATATGTGTGTTTTTTTTTTAGTTCAAGCACATTCAATTTCCGCGCCCTTTGGTCATTATTGTGACACTATATTTTTATTACCATATCTGGGCTTTGAACCCCACAAAACCTTTAATACACTGTATTTTTCTTTCCCTGTGAGAGCTGTATATTGCCTCCTTTCATTTTCCCCACAACTCAACACTTTAAACTCGGTCAGATATATTTTTTAATAGTTCGGTTTGATTTTGTCTTTTTGTGTCTTTTTATTGAGTTGGTTTATCAGAAATTGTTCCCACTGCTAGTGAGCCAGAGACATACTTATTCAGTCTTCAATATTTCAACTACTGCGTTATATATGACCTTTCCCTTGCTGTTATACCCATGACCTAATTTTGGACTTCGGCATGGTTGTGGCCAAGCAACAACATTCATGCTAGCTCCATGACCAATAATAAGTAATTGATGAAATGCTGGCTTTGGTGTTGTGTGGCAAAATCATTAATTTGACATCGAGTACATACAGCAATGGCAGGATGAGCATTGGTGAAACAATGAACATAATGAATGATGATTGATATTGACCAATATTTTATAGAAAATACACATTATTTCTTGGCAAGCACTTAAAGGTATGACGATTTTGACGACTCTGTCATCCCCAATAAGGCCCACTGAGAAAATGCAGAAAGAGAATTTGAGTGATTTTGCAGAGCGAAGTATACAGCACATATCAGGGTATTTCACAAGTATACCATAAAAAACATGGCTTGTGTACATTGTCCAGTGTGTTTGCGATTTTCTTGGAAAAAGCTGAGTCTGTATTTGCAAAGCTGCATCTCGCAATATCAATATACATTACAGTTGTATGGACTTTATACTGTACAAATGGACTAGCTTTCTATACAACTAAATTCAAAGGAACCAGAACAAAATTTTTGTGGAGAGAATTTTGCTGTAGAAAACATGGGGAGAGATGTGTATGACAATAAAGTACTGTACTGTAAATTTGTGACGCATAAATCTGGTCTGAACTTGAAATAATGGCTGGAGGATTTTTTTTAATTTCGGAGCATTTCTCGGTTTCTTTCTATCTACAGAACTCTTGGATGTCGAATTTAATTTTCAAACAACAAAGAATGCAGAAACCAAAAATTAAATTCCAGATGATTCATGCAAATTTTCTTTTGAAATTACCTAATATCATTTTATGCCAAGAGTCTGCAAATCAATGAAGACGAGTTGAAATGAAATCTTACTTGCCAAGAAAAAATGTGGTGATGTTTATGAAATGTTGTTGAATTTCAATGAAGGATTACGAGTCAAAGTCAAGACTGTATATAGAGTAAATCTCATTTTCAAAATGGTTTTGGTGAGGGTTATCTTCAAATTGAGAACCTCTCTGTTAAGGCATCGTTTCTTACTTTGGAAAACCAGACAACGTTTAAAGGAAAGAAAAATACATCACATTCGCCACCTATTTTCTATTCAGCCTCTTATTTTGTCCTCTTCAATTTACACATGGACGTTTGTTTAGTACAGTACTTCTTGCAGCATGCTGCTTACCCGACTTTTGATTGGCATCAAAAAACCCAAGGAAAAATCTAGAATGTCTCAATTCAGCTTGTTTTCAACTTTTTCGTCATTATCCAAGTACAGTATAGCCATAGGTTAAATATATGCTGTGGCTAAATTATGGATGAATATATTATGATTGGATCAAATTTCAATAATATCTTGAAAAAATTATGAAAATAGTTGATAAATTACGTAATTTAATGATACCATAATTAAAATACCAGACGTATTTGTGAAAGTGAAGATACAAGTCTTTATTATTCTCGCATTTTATCCGTGACCTTCACACACTTAGATAATACCATACTAATGCATGGGCCTCATATCGAAGATAATACTGATGGAAGCGCGTGGCGGGGATACTTAATTCAAATGGGTGAGAACTAAAACATCCATTCACGCTATAATTGGACCAAACACTGTACAGATATAAAAGATGATACAATAATATAGTATGGCCCCGTCATACAGTATATACAGCGGAGATCCGATTTAGGGACACTTGAAAGAGTTGACACCCAAAAATATGTCCTAAAACCAGACAATAATGCTTCTATGTATAGGGACACTTTATACCAACATATCCAGAAAAATGGTAAACATTATTATTTTTTAATCGTTATGGTTTTTATTGAAAGAATGAAGCCATTCATCTTTACAAAAATAATTTATTCCGAATAAATCATATTAGAAATACTGCACTCTCCAATCCATATAATCAAAAATAATTTAAAGGTGTACTTTTTCTTTCCATAAGGTTTTTTTCAATATCATCTGTGCACAGCAGATTAGCAAGATTTGTGATTTTTCTCTTGGACTCATCTTTTTCAGGATGCCAATAAAGCTTGGGAGGTTTCTCAGCTGTTTTCTTCTGCACAATTATTCTCTGTTTCTTGAAGTCATCAAAAAATTTCATTTAATTTTTTGCACGACCTTTTCCTCTATTTTGACGAACAGGCAAGCCAATTAAATATGCTCCCATTGAAGTCTATAGAAATAACATGATGTGGATGCTCCACTAACACATACACTGTACTGTACGGTATACAGTAAATGGATGAGTCCAATACATGAGCACCAATTACGTCTGGATTTAGGGGCCCCATCACTGCTGCTGTATACTGTACAGTATTTCTCCGTGCATCATATACATTTTGAATGGAAGCAAAACAGCAGCGTAGATATCAGTAAAGTACTGTGTACTGTATATACGATAATGATCTTCTATCAACATCAAAAATAATAAGATGAGTTATATGATGTGAAGTAGCAAACTGTATGTTGGTGGTATATTTACTGTATATAAACAAGTAGATTAGGAGACACAGCAATTCCATCATTGCTGCGATCACATTCCAAGGTAAACTGTACAGACCTTTTTGAAAGATTATACAAGAAGGTTGCCGGCGGTATTCTCCAATTCACGATACTGTATAATTACTGTAATAAACGGGCCAGCTTTGGGTAAGCGCTGCTGAATGCCTGGGAGACGAGGACAACGACTCATCTCATACAGCAGTGACACTGTTCACAGAAAATTTGCACATAGCATAAGTTGTTTTACTTTATTCGACAATAGGTGTCGCTTGAATGCATTGTATGCAGCGCGTCAATTTTCGGACTTCACACTATTATCCCAAACTAATGTGGAATACTATATTGTCCTTTCCTGTGGAAATCCCTCATGCACTTCCGTGGCAGTATGAATTGAAATTTACTCAATTTTCTTGACCAATAAATTGTCTGAGATTATGCAATCCAACATTTTCGATGCGCCATCCTTATAGCATGATATCGGATTTTTGGTTGCATCTGTAAAATCATATTCTCAAGAATGAATAGTGTATGGCCGAGTGGGGAAATTTGTGCACACTTGGGATTTGTTCATAATTCTACACAGTGACCCTGTTGTGCACCTGAAGTGTACCAAAGTTCTTCTGTTGCACATGTATATCCCCAATGTGCACCAATTGTGTGTTCACACCAGGATTACTCAGGGTCACATTTGTAAACAAATAAGTTACACCAAGGTTACAGTTGGTGCATTTGTGTGATGCTCCTGTTATTTCACATTTGTGCACCAAGTGTATCCCTGGAATGGTAGCAAAATTTCCTCTACAAGAGTGCACACTTGTAACCCCAGAATATCCCAAATGCACCAGTTTTGACCCTGGTGTGCACCTACTGTGGGGTCACAGCAAAAATAGCTCCCCACTGAGGGGGCTAATGACTATGAGGTTGCTCCAATATTCCTGGCATGGTTATTTAGTCATTAACTTATTTCCACATTTAAGGTTCCATTTAGTAATCTATATTCAGCAGGTTTCTCCTTGCCAGTCTCAGCAATTTTAAATCACTTTTAATTAGCACTCGACGAGGAACTCATCTAAACATAAAAAATATCATAATTTAATCACGTAAACTCGTACAGCATTATGAATCCAGCAACGCTCAGTCATTTGAAATTTAAATACGGTACTGTGGTAAGAAAGTGAACTTGTTTTTTTACATTTACAATTTCTCAATTCTGAAAGGAAACGAATCATGGTGCGCTTCAAATTTTCCCTGACCCACTCATCAGACTTCTTTGAAATTATTCACTAACGATTGGATTCCACAAGGTAATTCTCAATGCGGAAGTTTCGTAACAACCTTCCCCAAAGAGATAAAATCCATCGCGATCTACAGCCAACACGGGAAAATGCTTCCAACGTCGCGAAATAACTTGAGCCAAGTTTCATTGCATGAAGAAGTCGCTTGCTATTTTCGTACGTACTTCATAAATGCGACACTACTTAAAATCCCAATAATCATCGAAACCCGAATTGATCAAAACCATGATCTACACCCTGCCCTTGCCAATGGAAGAAGAGCTCAAGAAATCAATCAGCGAAGGTATTCGTCGTGATTCATCGCGAACAAAACGCAATTCAAAACGGACGAAGAACACCTATTCCTGCAGCTGTGATGAACATGCGATACGAAGAGATAAAAAAAGTTTTCAGACAAGAAAACGTAATAGTGAGATCAAATGACCACAAACGAGCCTTTGCACTTCAACACTCCACTCAAAAACAAGACCACAATAAGGACTAGATATAAAGCTTCAACGTAAGATCAGCCAATTATGCAAACCAACGAGTTTGACTACAGCATCAAAAGGCAACCAACTTCACTCACATATAAGATCACGGCAGGGTAACCAAGATCATGCAATATTCTCGAATGATGAACGTCATCCCGGCAACTATTCCAGGGAATCAACGGACTAGATTCAATGGCATGAAAAGCTTCAAAATGGGATTCATCTCGATGGCATAGATAGTCAATTTTTCCCTCCCAAGGGCATCCATACAAAACCTCATATCAAAAACTTTTTTTCCATTTCATCATCAGCAGCATTCCATTCCGACTTAATGCTGGTCTTCTGTCGATATTTTTGATAGGTTACAATAGATACGAGAGACGCTTGAACTGATCTATCACAGAACTCAAGATACAGTTCGCAACCGGGAATGTTCAAAATTTCGTAACTTTCCTGACATCCGCCAGTTTATTGCAGAGATGTCACATTCAGCTGAAGGTGGACTTCGACTAGGAAACAACACTCACTCCGCTCAATCTCCCGAAAACTTGATCACAAAAATAATAGTGCAGATTAAAAAGTAACTCGCAAATCTCACTAAGAACTCTAACATATCGTAACCATTTGAGCCAATAACTCTTTGGCGGGCAATAAGACCCCGACGTCAACCACAAGCACTTCGCAAGCACAGTTTGCCCAGTCACAAGCTAATATTCTGCATTCGGTCTTCAGTACAACAAAGAAAAAAAATGAAGTGGAAATGAGGAAATTTCGATTACTGATAATTAAAAATTCTAAGAGTTAGATTGGATTACAGTCCACAAACACAAGATGCGAATCTTGAATAATTCATGCACGTGCTTGGCAAACACTCCCGCGATAATTGCTGAAGGTTTACAAGGAAAAGTAAACATTCGAGATTCTACTTCAGCGCAGAATAAATAAAACGCAGTCATAATCACACTTTCGGATGCTACAGTTGGAACAGTCCAGAAATTATCGATGCGACATAAAAAAAAAAATCTGGACTTGCATTGCGGATCGAATTCTTTCTCTCAACAATCGCGCTTGATTACAGAATCACATGCCGTAAGAATTACCAGAAGTTCTCATCACTTGCGGAAAATATTGACTCGATTCGTTCAACATTTCTACCATGCTAATGAAGGAATGTTCCTCCTAACCGTATTCATAGTATGCCATTGAAATACAGCAGAATTCCGTTACAAAGGGGGGTTAAGGACCTTGAAAAAAGTTATTGTGAACCAAAAGTCGTTACAACGAAATAAAAATAACATTGCGGCTATTGAACAGGCACCAGAAAAGCAAATTCGTTGCAAGCATTATTTGTTGTAACGAAATTCTGCTGTAGTAAGATTCTTCCCGGCATCACGGCTTGAACCCACACTCAACATCAACGTCCCAGAGAAATAAAACTTTGACGATGATCAAAATTGCATTGTTTACTGAGATAAAATTTTTCGCATAGTACTTCGTATCCACGAAGAACTCGCACAAGCCGTGAAGCCAGAGAAGAGTCAGCTGAAATTTGTCGTTCGGTACAGTACTGTGCTTGAAAAGACGGTGCGCGATATAATGCACGATACAATTTCAAAAGCGCTGATTAGCTATTTTTGTACATCATCCCGGATAGGACCGATACGTCTTGTACACCGAATGCAGAGGGAAAATAAAGACTTCAACATGTGCGGGTAATAAGCACCTGGATCAAAATTAGCATGCTCGTGCGTGTATCCCCCTGAAAGCACTCCCACAGTGCAGGCTCGTAGAATACCTCTTTAAAACATTTCCAATGTAAGGCTGGAAAGACAAGTTGCATCATTTCGTACCTTTATGAGTAATTGAGGCTGCATAAAATCAAGCTCACGAAAACTGGGAAGCGGAAACCTAAATATTGGAATATCAAACGATAATGAAGCAAGACAAGGGATTCACACGGCAAAGAAGAAAAAAAATCGAACGGAAGAAGCACCAATAAACGACCTTAGGAAGACAAAACCAAGGCGTTTTCACAGAGGAAAAAAGGAATGCTCCCTCAGCATCTCTTCTGTACCTCACAGGTTCCAGCTTATTTCATCAGTTTGTCAGCACGCTCATTAGCAATGCGAATGCGAGTGTAATTCGAATCACCCTGCAAAGAAATGAAGTGAATATTGTACACATGAGTTCGCAAGAAAAAGGAACCAATTATACGAGCTCTGAATTCGTACGTCTATGAAATGGAAAAAGGACTTCAAAGAATACAATTTAATTTGATCATACCTCATTTGTGATGCGAGAGATTTGGTTGTTCTGATTATCGATCTCAGAATTCATATCCATTGCCATATTTCGAAGGTTTGAAAGCATGCCGGACACCTGCTGCATGTTTTCCTCCATTTCATCTTCGCGTGCATCCTTTGTAACCCTGTGATGATCATGTAACAAACATTGGTGAAATTTATAGAGAATCGATTGATAACAGAGATTGAAGAAGTGGAAGTCCACCGAAAACAGCTTTCTTTCAGATTTAACACAAATACTAAGCAAGAAAAAATTTCAGGAAAATAAAAAAAGGAAATACTGTACTCCAAAATCTTAAAAAAAAAAATAGACATACATCATATAAATCACCGTACCTGCCAATATATCCGGAATTCACCATGGCGCCATTGCGCTCATCGGTTACTCGCATGGGTTGGTTGCTGACCATTTTTCCATCTTCTTGGTTCTTCCAGGTGCCTTCATTTTCCTTGAAATTCGCACTCCTGTTGGTAAGAAAAAGTTCATAAATCTCCTTGAAAATAAGGCTTTCCTTTTGGTTGAAAACGTATAACAGCATTCGATGTTAACACACCGTGCAAGGAAGTACTGTGCTGTTCAAGGATCACAGGCCCTCACGTGAGGGGAGCACCTTAGTTTTTTGGCAAGGAATTTTTTCCAAAGAATTATCCCTGCATTAGTTGCGCACCCCAATTTTTCCCGTCTCAAAATCGAATTATTTTTTTCACATATTTTAAATGAAACAATAAAAAATGAATACAGTATTACAAAGGAGTATGTTAAAAAGATTGGTGCCGAATAGAATTTCCCTTTCATTATTTCCTCCTACACTCACGGTGGTTCGCAAAACTGGGTTAACAATTTTTTCCGTTGAAAAATTTACACAACAGACCCTGCTTTCTCTGCTTTGATTTTGCAGAAAAAAGGTGCGTTTGATACACGCGTGAATATTATAGAAAAATTTTATGAATTTTTGTTACTTCTGGGTACATGCCCAAAATCGGGAAGATTTCTTTCAATAGAGTTTAGGTCGTAAAAACTATTCGGGGGGAGTTCAACAAAATGGACAAATTCACCCAAGTTTTATAATTTTGAAGAATAATTTGAAAAGTTGCATAACCCTTCGTGGGACATACAGTATGTGGAGGAGGAAGTGAAGACGCTAACTTGATTTAGAATACAGCATACGAGGAATTCTAAAAATACTTTTGCTAATTCCCTTGTGGTTGTAATTTTTTGATTGAAGCCATATCCTTCCCAAGACGAGATTCCCGTTGGCATGCATGAGAGGTTACGTACGCCCACTCCATATTAATGCTTTCAAACACACCACTAGAACCAAGTGTGGTATTCAAAACTGACAAATAAATCAGGAAACGCCCAGAACGCAAAACCCGAAGTTGACAATAAAAAAAAAATGAAGTGGGGTACCCCGTCGTCTACGACGTAATTTAACAAGGATTGGAACGAAGATTACCTCTGCCACGGTAAGACGCAGAGACCACAGCACTTCTCCATTCCAGCAAGATTTTCTTCTGCTTCTCTCATGTCTGCATTGATCTGATGCATCCCTTGCTCAATTCTTTCCAATTGTTCTGCAATCAACAAAAGTATACGATTGAAATTAGAAAGTTCGAAGAAAACAATTTTAGCATCATTAAAACTATGGAAAGGCATTTGCTGAACATATAGATCAAGGTTTAACGAAGAGAACCCATAAATTCGAATTTTCACAATAAATTGAAGAAAGTGGATGTTGATTTCATGAACTACTCCACCTTACGGTGAACTCTCTCAACGAAGATTTTTCGAAGGTCCGATCGGGTTATATCCCCATGTTTTAGGCTTTACAACGAATTTATTCAGGGGTTTCTTAAATTTCGTTGTAGGGAGTCCACCTGTAGTGATTCATCAGAAGTAGAAAACGACGAAACTCACGTCTACGTTCGAAAAAGAGACCTTCGGTACAAAACACTCAAGAAAATGACCGATTTAGCGAATGAAAATTGCTCAACTTACCCCCTTGATCATCAAGTGCAACCAATGTCCTGATGCCAGCCTCCTTGCTCTGGGATAGCAGCACCACAAGAAATACATCTCGTCAACGCCTCGAAATTACAAAAGCCCATTCGAAGTTTTCGATCCTCCAACCGTAAAATTTGGAAGGATTTCGAATGTTAATTATGAATGAATTCTCACCTCCTCGCAGAGAGCCATCATCCGTCTGGTACTTTCCAGAGACTGTGAAAGGAAAGTTCAGATTCATTACCAGCGAATTTATAGATACATTATCCCACCACATCAACCGGGAAACACTTTCATTACCTCATTTACTCGAGTGCCAGGCACACCTTCATCCAGATATTGAGGCAGAAAAATGGCGTGCGCGTGGTAATTGGGAATATGCTTCAAAGGAAAAATCCTCAAAACTAGTGCCCATTACACGCATGCGAGTTTATTGAAGAAACAAAAAATGAAGAGGAAATGCGTGGCGCCAAGTCCTCATGTCCACGGGAAATAATGCTTCAAGCAATAAACAATTTTGCATTTCTTAAAAACAATTTTTTTTCCAGGGTATCACTTGGAAATTCAACAAGAGGCAAAGGAACTGGAAAATGTTCATCGAATTGAAGAAGCTGCCATATATTGCAAGCACACTTTAACTGCTCCAGCAGATGGTAAAAAAGGAAAGAAAACAATATCAATGGGAAAAATTCACACACAAAATAGATTTCAAAAGTCTTGATTTTCAGCACAAAGAAAAATACTGGACTTGAAGGTGCTACTCAGGGATAGATGTTCGGGGGAATATTACACAAAAAATCGGGTGCCTGTCCTCCTTGAGGGCGCTTGGTACTCGAGTAAACACAGTATCACGAATTACGCACATTCTGGTTCTTGAAACGTCTGAATCAATTCACAAGAAGTCTTTCGAGAGGCGAGAACTCACTTCATCAGTGACCTGAGACGCTTTGAGCTGCAGCTCATCAGCTTCAGATCGCCCCGCAGACGGGGGAGCGGCTTCCATTTCTCCCGGCATTTTTCCGAAGGTGACAAGAAGAACAAATTATTTTCGAGATTCAAAACACAAGAACACACCGAATAACAACGATCCTGCAAAAAAAGAACGGAACTTCAATGTTAAATGCTAAATATTACCACATGAAAAACACAATCCCAAGAAAAAGCTTCAACAGCTTTCGCCTTCCAACTGAATTTAGCACGAGGCATTTATTTCACGTTCACTGGTCAAGAAATCTTAGCTGGCCATCGGAATTCTCTTCGTCACTCACTGACGAGAGGCGTTAAGCGGATCACAGAATTCAGAACTTGAAACTTGTAAGAAATCAAAACCATGCAAAATCCTAACAAGACCAAAGCAACCGGGAGAAAAATAATAATTCGCATTGATCCACGACACTGTTCAACGAAGGCCAAGACAGACACCGTTTGGATATTTCAGCTGCGTTTGACACCTAAGCAAACGAGAAAACTTAAAAAAATCTTTTTCTCAGGCGACAGAAACAATTCAGTAACACTCACCCCAGTGTTACAATAAATTTTGACTTCCGTTACGCACGAATCCCTTGAAGATCCTTGACAAATCCAAAACTCTCACCGCGCCACTTATTTCCCAGTTTTTGATCGAAAATACCAGAGAAACTTCGGGAAAAAAGTAATTTCTCCGGACATGTAGCATTTAATGCCATGATAAACCCTTTATTCACCCAAATGTGAGTGCATGAATAGCTTCAAAATTCTCAAAATCCCACATCTGCGGGACCATATCACAGCCAAATTAAATCCATGGGATCTCATTCCCCGCAGTGTACATCATGAACTTGGAACAGGCAAAGCCGAACAAATTTCACACAGCAAATACACCCTGCGAAACCATTAGCTGTTGATCAAAATATTGTTGAGCTTTCTGGCTAAAAGCCAATTTTCAATTTATAATTTTCTTTTGCCCCGATACAACAATCCGTCCGAACATTCGAAATAACTGAAGTAGATTGTACCGGCATGTAGCACGATAAACGTAAACTCCTCTTTCCAAGCACTGTTCTGAACAATGTACTCATCACGATGCATTCGTTGATAGTAACGTAATTACAATTTTTGTCACATGCTTGAAACTGGGAGATATTGTGAAAATGAAATTCGTTGTGCCGACATGCCCATAAAGCGAGATGATTCTGCTCACATGCATGGGTGAACACATTCGAGGCGACCTTTCAGGACCCAAGTCAAATATTTCATCGGGAAACTGGAAATGACTGAACACAAGCTGCGATGATTACCTTACGAACAAGCAATCTAACCCAAATATTTCGGAACTCCGGCGAGGTAAAGCTTGACATACACCAACAGAAGCTTGCTCTCGTAAAGCGTCCGCACCACAGTAGAATAAGTTGGTGCCACTTATACAATGCCCATCGATCAGATTGAGAATCGATTTCACTTCAAGAATGTCTTGAATTCAACCGTGGAAATAATAAAAAAAGAAACAAAACCTTTCTCAAAACTCCATTAAATTTTCTGGAATATCGCACGGCAAAGATGCTCGACGTAGCATGGACACCCATTCTTCTGCTCTTTCCGGACAGTCAATCGCGAAGTACCATTCATTACCTGAACGAAAGACCTCATTATAAGATATGGAATAAGTCTTGATGGGATTTAACCAACCTGAATCCTGATGGGACAAAACGAAAGAATTCGGTGAAGTAACAGCTATTTTGGACCCAACGATATTGATATTCTTCCAAGGATCTGCCCTGTAACCATTCCGTGTGCACCTGAAAATCAGATTCAACTCCGCGATTAGTCTAGCCAATAAAATATAGATCTTCACACGACTAATTACATACAAGGTGATTTATTCATTACTGAAGATAATTCATGAACACTTTAGGAAGCTACGAACTCCAGAAATTTTTGTCACAGAGACTTGAACCAATGAAGATAATGAGGAAATCTTCGCATTATTCAAGCAACAGAAAATCTTGATCGGGTAAGAAGAATTTTCGCTTCAACTAAATTGAGAACTTTTGCAAACTAAGAAGAATTTAATCAATAGAAAAAAACATCCTGACGAAAAAGAACTTTCAATACATGGAAGAACGATGGAATGGCTTCATGAACAATGAAAGTTTATCATCATGAAAACAAACTCCTCAAATATCTGTCTCAGAGAATTTCAAAAATATGGAGACGAAGGAAGGAAAAAATCCTAACATCATCCCGAGAACTTGAAACTTTCGAGACAAGGAATATTCCTTCTCAAGGAAAACGGCACGAATATCTTCCCGTAGAAAGGGGAGATGTTCGACAGCGGGATCCGCCATAACACACTAGCATTGTAATTTACCATTGCGTATCAAACATGTGCTGATTTTTCGCTTTCATTCACGTAGTTCCATTTTTGGGGGACGAAAACGTCTGGTTTAGATTTTCAGGACATACGGACATCGACGCGTTTTTGCTGGCCATCAAGTGAATTTTCAAGTACAGAACAAATACGAACTAGTCTTTGAAATACGCACTTATTCCCCAGAAGTCGATGAGAATATATGTACAATCGACAGCCATGCAGTTCCATCCAAAAGTCCTTCTGTTTCGTCCAACGTACTTTCTTGTGGTTTTTCTTCACTGTTTTCCGTTGCACAACCGAACCGTACCAGAAATCATGAGAACCCGAGCACCTTTTAAAATAAAAATTACTTGAAAATGCTTCATCGTCACTTCACAGGAAGGTGACCCACGTTGATGACGCAGTAGCAGTCAAAGTGCGCTGTGAGGCTAATGATGCTGTCTTGCGGTCTACATTCGTATCATCGCTGGATGGAGATTTCTCCTCAATTTTAACTGCTACTCCTTCAACACAGGCCACAGGCATGAAATCGCCCCCGGAAAGGGGTTCGGGACTTTCTGATCCTTCGCACGTTTCTTCAATGGTGGCCCTCGTAGATAATTCAGAATCCAGGAGACTCTTCGATCCGTTCGACAATGGGGGGTATGAATTTCCTTCCCGGAAAATGCTGGAATTCAGATTTTTTTTCATTAGTCAGAAGACCCGATCCAATAATGCAATGCAACGTAATGAGCTCAATACAGATTCCGGAAGACCGGTAGATTTTGTTTTCATTCTGTGAAAGAATAGGATTAAACAATCCTAGAGCAATTAAAAAACGGCGAAAATTTCTGATGAATGGTCGTCCATTGAAGCTGATTTTAAAAGTGAGATTCCTGATAGTGTCGAATGAGAATCTTTGGAACCACTTAAAAATTGAGGTTTACATGCGCTACAGCTATTTCTTGACAGAAGAAATAATACGAGTCTGCGGAACGCGGATCAGACAACTTCGACTAATCTGACATCTCAGAAAAAATCCCTACACGAACTCACTTAGTTCCAAGACTCTGCGCCTTTCGATGAGTGAAAGGGAATTTCCCTGCATTCACACGTGCTGAGCTGGGACGATTCTGGTGCATTTTGGCATTTCGAGGCACAGGCGATAAACTCGATGCTGTTTGTCGCGCCACAGCCGTTCTACTTGGGTGATATGCCTTCGTTGGAGAAACTACCGTCAAGTTACCATCACCCGCAGTACCCTTGCTTCTTGACGGGCTTTCTCCAGGTTCCAAAGATAGAGACCGCCTAGGAATGAAGTCAAACGGAGGAATACTCGTTGAAGTTCGACAACTTCGATTGAAGAATTCCAAAATATTCTTGTAAGCGTGCACTCACTTGTAAAGCTCATCCTCCGTAAACTTGAACAACGCATCGATATATTTGCGAGAATTTATGTACCTTTGCAAAACTCCAACGCATTTTAATTTTTCATACGTTGATGACTGGAAGCGCAGCACACCGTGCAAAACCTCATCCATCTTCCGTTTCCTACTTTCAAGGCTTGTGCCGTTAGAACCATCAGCATCTCGATATGCCTCCTTGATCGTGATCAATTCAGTCAAGAAAGGTCCTAAGAGAACAGCGAAACAATTGCACTTTGAATATTCTAGATCATGCAGCTTAAAAGAAAAAGTGTTCCATCTAAGCTCACCAAGAAAAGGTATGCAAGGAGGCACAGCTTCTTCCAAGAAAATTCGAAACCTTCCCTTCTCCAAGAGGAATTCGGAACGCTGGGCGAGGTTAACTTTTTCTTTGGATGGTACCAACGCCCACGTTTTGTTCAAACGGAAAATCGCTGCATTTCGCAAAGCAGACACAACTGCAGCTTCGGAATTCAAGTTTTGTAGTGCTTTCAGATGTCTGCAGGTTTTCAACAGATGGCAGATCACCTTCGCTCGCATTTCCGTGTTCTCTCGTTCCAAAACCTCAACGGAGACCCAATAGGCAGTCTGACAACGAAGCAATCATAGAAAATAGAGTTACAGTACTTCATCTTCCAGTCACGCACGAACAATGATACAAATTAAATAATTTAACCGATTCAATGTAGTGCTTCAAAAAATCCATCATTCGCGAAAATTATGTTAGCCCTTTCATATTTGTACTAGATAATTGTTTTAAAACGAAAATGTCGCTGATACAGCTCATTGACTATGTCAAGTTCACACCGAACCGCTACTTTCATGAACTCCTGATGTCATCCTGCGCGCGTAGACAAAAAAAAACTAGCAGAAAAAGGCTGAAACATTAGTCAAGAGGGAATTTCAACAAAAATCCCGAGAAAACAGTCGTTCCATTTTTATCGATTCAAGCTTTTTTCAACTTGAAAATTTTCATCACAAATTCCAACGCTCCCGTCGGTGTCTCCACCAACGGTTCGTGACGAAGTACATTTACCACTGCGAAGTAACGTCTTGCCACAAAAAGTAAATTCAGAACGAATAAAATAGACCAATCCCAGGGTTTCTTCTAGAAAAAAGAGAATGGTTTCCCTATACAACACTTTGCAGAACTAAAAATACATTTCGAACTACCCGTGTATGGGACACAAACCTGATTAAATCGCTCGATGAAATTCATCACGTTCGGGGCCTTCGCATGTTTGTATTTCTGATCTGCCCAACCGCATGAGTACAGCTCTTCTTCTTTGATTGCACTGTACAGGTTGAAATCCATCAAGGTGAGCTGCTCAGCGATCACATCCGGAGGAACCGCCAGAATGTCCATCATATGAATGGTTTCGCTAGATCCTGATCTAGCCGGCAGTGTTTTCGATCGATCATTAAGAACTAGGCGACCGAAATCAATTTCCGTCCGGGAATTCGGTGAACACAAAGTGCTATGTTTCGGAATTTTTACATAGTTCACTGCTTTGCACGAACTCGAATTCGAAGAAGACGACACCGGTGTTGCTGAACGTTCACACGAAGAATCCGACAAACTCGAAGGCTTGAATATGCTCTCCACTGCGGCTGAACCGGTCATCGACAGTTGAACAGATCTACTTTTGACGTGTTTTGTGCCATTGTGGGACGGACGTTCTACGACTAATGCCATTTTCGAAGAGCACGAAACGTCTTCCAAGGAGTCACCCGATATGATTGAATTTCCCTGCAACGACAGACCACTCAGTATTTTCGCTTCAAGTTGGAATTTGACACAGGTACAGGTGCTTGAAAGTACAAAGATTTAGTACCACGACTGTCGCTCACCTGGTCATCGTCCATTTCAGATAATGAACCAGTCGCACAAGAAGCATCGCTAGCATCAAAGCCAGAATTCAAAGCAGAATATACTGGAAAACGCGATCGAATCATGTTCCATTCAATCATCCAAACTGGCTCTTTTGCAGTGGTGGGTGCGTTCCCGAATTGTGAGTTTTCGGCGAAGTGAGACAAAAGCAAAGTTGCATCGGACATTCTACTCAGTCCGACGGAAGCAAGTGACTCAACAACGACTACACTCAGAACAATGTCAATCTAATCCGAAGACAAGTAGAGATGAATCGTTCAACAAAGCCGCACGAAGCCTCATCTGCAACAAACAAAAGCTCGTTACTTGCAACGCACTAAAAACCAATATCCACCAAAAGACCAGTAAACCCCAAGAACTCTTTCCAGGCATGATCCAGTAGCAACGAGGATGAATGAATCCTAAATTGTGCACATGAATTGAAGTTCTTTAAAAGATGTCTCACCGATGATCAGCGGTCGCCGATTTTCATTCGGAGGGAAGGATCGGTAGGATGGCTGGGTATTCCTCCATCCAAAGGAATCAAAAATTTCACACACCAATAAACCGTGGATTTTCACATCAATTCATACAATCTGCACAGAATTCAGACGTCAGTCGACGTTGTCGGAACATACCACGATTTCTTTACATGGTACCTACAATCAAACAAGATGAATTTTCATGAGATAGGACTGTCGTTTGGCGGTGAAGATAGGCACTCGAAACAAGAACCTCTCCGCGTTCTACGGAACAGTGGTACAATCCGACACACATCAAGGCAAAAAAATGTTGGCGTTCGCCTGGAAAAGGTGACCCACTTATCCGCAAAAGCACGTACCACACGTAATGTGACATCTACCGGCAAAGCCAAAAACGGATGCCTCAATACCAGAAATTGTATCACATGCAGCAACACTGCCCCGAGATACGACCACTGGAATATAGACAGAGAGCTGGGGAAAAATGGAGAGCTTCGTAACCGTGAGATTCAATAGGACAATAGCACTCAGGCTGCAGCATCTATCCAATCTCGGATGCATTGGGATGCTAAGTTTCTAAATTTAGATGGTGTTGACATGGTTCAATGCAACTTCATCTGTTAGGTTCTTCGTTCGGTTGACTTCCTGTACTTCATTGTTAGGTTATGCTGTATTCCTTCGTCTGGTTACTCGAAGAAGGCTTTAGTGCCTGCTAATGCTGTCAGGCATTACATCGGCTTACTTCATCGAAGTGTTGCGTCGTCATGCGATTTCAAGTGTTCTGTCAGGTAGGTCCCGGCAAGAAAATACGGACAGGGAAGAAGTTCACATATACTTTCGAAATCTCCGGAATATCTTTTCGAAAAGTCAGTTGGGTTACTGCCCCGTGATCACTAGCAGTTCGCCACCCAGCTCTCGCGGAAATCGTAGGCCTTCGGCAGGGTTATTGGATATGATTGCTGGAACGGGGAACAGTCATTTTATTCTATCCTCTCCGCGTAGATGGCAATAGGGTAGAAAATCATGGAGGCGCCCGTGAATTCGTATTACCTGTACTGTACGTCTCCTTCTCCAGACTAGCGGCAAAATGCTGATTCATTCTCCGGTCTGACAACTCAAACGGAAGCTAGGATTTCATTTACAGAAAACACGAGCCATCGTCCGATAACGCCGTTCCATGAATCCACGGCATATAATCGGCTACGCAAGAAAAGCCGCCACAAGCATGCTACTCCAATTCGCCAGAAAAAAAGTACCCCGGAAGAATAACGAAGCGCAAAACATCTCACACGTTAAGCCTCTCAAGTCTCAAGAATTCGTGAAATGGATACAATTGCGAACTCGTCAGCACAAAATTACAAAGAGATCACACTTATTCGACAACCACGGTTACTTCAACGGGATCTCGAATTTTAGTCGCACGTAAATTCGTACGAAGTTATTTATTTGCCGAAAATCATGGGTTTTAGGGTGGATTATCAAGCACTGGGTCAACGCCTTTCTCGGCCCAGAATTACATGTTCACTATCATCTATTTCCATGCAATAACCCTGATTCTCACCATCAAATTCTGAATCGTTCGTATAAAATTGAGGAACGACAAAAGTGAATGAACGCAACCCAAATAGATGAAGCAACCGAAAACCGAGTAGCAAATCGCCCGCAAAGAAAGCCAATTTCCATATCACTAGTTTCAACATGTCGCACACGTCTCTGTATCACTTACGACAAGCGAGAACCCGATCCAGTAGTCCACACAAAATTTCATATATGTGATTCCCGAGTGGATGAGTATGGTGCTTCTGTTGTGGGCAGCCATATTTCTTGTTTTCGTGCAAAGCGAATATGCGGTGTTCCGCGGAATTGGACTCACCTTCCCTGGCAATACAGTGGGCCCCCATCTTACGTCATCAATCCGTTCCAGGATGGACGTCGTAACATGGGGTCATCGTAAGTTGAAACCCTATTTCCCTTAAGGTTACATTATAAAAAATTTAATTTGTTCCAGAAAAAAAAATATTTAACTAAAATTACCTTCACATTTCAACTTTTTGTCAGAAATTGTATTAATAGAC